CCTCGACACTGACTTAGCTCTGATGCTGCAATAACAGGCATGATATAAATTTGGAGGGAGAAAGAAATACAGATGAGTAATAGGAACGGCTTTCATTTCCAAGTAACCTGTCATTGTGTCATTAATCAACGTTGCATTGAAAGTCTTTGTTGTTTTCAAGTATTCTTGACATGTTTGGAGTACCTAGGAAAGAACTGTGGATACTGTTACCTTTAACATTTTATGGAAAGCTCATTTATAGAAAAAGTTCAAAGCATTTATAAAATAGAACACTGGCCACATTAATTGATGAGATATTTTTTCATCTCCTTGGAAGGTGGTATAAAAGAAAAAAGAACAAAAATATAAACAACAACAACAACAAAAAAGTAAGTTCAAGCAACTCTAGAAATTTAAAACACTGTTAAATTGGTAAGAGAATTAAGAGGTACCAACCATAGAAAAAGAAAGAGAGAAATTTTACACTCCTATTAAATACATGTAGTAAATCACCATACAGGTAATGCATTACTTTCTCCTCACTGTAACTTGTATTTCCATAAACACCAAGTGGTACTAACTCTTTAGAGGGACATATTATTCCCCAATGCAAAGAGAGCTCATCCCAGTATTACACTTATAAGTAACGTGGAAATTTCTCAGTAGTCCCCTTGATCCAGTTACTGCTCCCTGCCCTCAATGCTGCAGCTTACTGATGTACCCATTTCCTACAGGTAGGCAAGGTCTTAAGTGCTTTAGAAAGAGTTTATAATAGAAAAGAGAAAACATAACATAATGCTACTTCTGTCAGCCTGGTGTTTTTCTTTCATTAAACAGGTGAAAAATGCAGCGGCCAATGTACTCAGGGAAACATGGTTAATTTATAAAAACACAAAACTGGTTAAAAAGATAGACCATGCAAAAGTAAGGAAACATCAACGCAAATTCTTGCAAGCTATTCATCAGTAAGTACTATTTTGTTTTGGTTTTCCACTCCAGGTATTTTCTTTCTTAGTTTCCCTATCTCATAGTCCCTCTTAGTTCCCATGTCCCTTCCTGCCCACTCCCCTTGCTTCCACTCCCTATCCTCCCCTTCACAGAACATTGCTCTTGAGGTTGATTTTTCTCTAAGAATACCTCAGTGTTTTAATGTAT